TAATATTATTTTTATGCTTGTACTGTAACCGGATTATTGTCTTATATCTGTAGCATACACGGGTATAAATTTTATGTCTTTTAGAATATGTGCTATTTAAAATACTTTTGATGAAAAGTTTTTATGGATATTGGATTATGCTTGTTATAAACCATCTCTAAATGTTCATATGCGCTTGCATATATTAGAAATTCCATTATTTATATATTAATTCATCTATAAATATTTTAGTATGCAACTTTAAATTTTTATTTCAACTAAAGTGGATGTATATTGCGTTGAGCGCAATATCTTCTAATTTAGATTGAATGGATGAACTTAAAATTTTTCGAAGTACCTCGACATGATTGGATTAAAATAACTACCATTTTAAATCTTAACCATTTTTATTGTGGTTTCAACGTATCATCATTAAACCAATCAAGTAGAATAAAAATCATTTTCTACAGTTTTTTATTGGCACACCTCTAACCTGCACGTGAGATAAAACCATTTTAGTTGATTTCACAGCTTATACTATATGCAATAAAATGCAACAATAACTATTATTAAATGGAGAAGTTGCTTAAATCATTAAAAATGTAGTTAAATGAATATATTTTCCATATAGAATAATACACAGATGGAATTCACATATGATACTGTTTCACTTTAGGTTATAGTAGCTTAAATATAATATTAAAAATAATAAAATAAATAATTTAAATAAAAAACAAAATAACTTTATTAAATAATCGGTGGTTTCACTGACACTCACTCAAGTCCATTTTAAAATTAAGAAACTTGACAGAAGTATTAATTTGTGATTTTTCTGATTTTAAGTGGATCTTAATTTTTTAATATGCAATCATTTTACACTTATTAATTAATTACTAATTAATTAATATTTCATTATTTATACTTCATATTTCTTGATATACTAGGTGGATTGATAAATACCCGGCCTAAGTATTAAACAGGCATCATTTTTGGATACCTTGTAAATAATACGATTTATGAAGTCCTCCAAAATATATCTTATCTTTCCACCTCATCATTTGATGCAAATCTCTTTCCCTGAAGTTTTAAAACAGGTAATAGTCAGTGGAAGCCACAGCTGGAGAAGGTAAGAAAGCAATTCATACCGTAATTTATTTAATTTTTCCATGGTTTTAATTGACGTGTGACCGGGTGAGTTATCCTGCAAAAATTAAATTTTTTTCTTTGAGAAATGTGTTCGTTTTGTCTTGATTTCCTCAAGCAATCCATTTAATAATATGCAATAATAGTCTGATGTTCTTGTTTTTCGTTTTGCCAAATAGTCTATGAAAATTATTCCACTTAAATCCCGAAATACAAAAGTCAAAACTTTCCCGATCGGAAGCCGACTCTTGAGTTCGTGGTCTTGAGTTCGTGGTCATTTGTGACCACTACCCACGGACTCTATGCAATCTCTGACTTGTTGTCTTTCGTCAGGTCTTTAGTAATAAGTATATATTATTATTGTGTCGACGTTCACAATCAGCTAGATTGTGCATAAACATTTCCAAACAATGTTCTGAAAAACGAAGTCAATTCACCCGCCTATGGTCAATTGTATTTTGGATATATATCTATTAACCAACCACTTTTCAAAAAAATTCCTCATTTCTATTTTCGGTTAAAGAATTTCAAAAAATTATTCAATTATTATTTTCAGCATATACACTTTCCTAAATTATTAATGTTAATTTTTAATATTTTAAAACATCAAATACATATATTAAGGTTTGCAAATATGAGTCCCTATTAACATTTCGACTGTTGCCACCCAGAGTGTCAATTTTGTCTTGTATTTTTTTTAAACAAACAACTTTAAAATATATATTATATTATATATTAAATTTGTTATTTAATATATATTAATAAAAAAAAAACTGTTAAAATTAATACATTTCTTTAATGGACATGAAACACCTGCCTTCCATTGTTAATTTCCACTTTCATATAATTAAATTTATTTATTTTATTATACTGTAATTTTTATAGACCCCAGTTTTAAAATATTAAATATCAACATATGCCAATGAAATACCTTTGACTGTCATACCCAATAAAACCAATTACTTTTATTTCCCATTAGTGTACTCGGAAGCAGAGGTGTTTAATTCTAATCCTTTGGCAATTTCAAACCACACGTTTCACCGAAAACCTATCTATTAGATGTTAGGCAATTTAGATCTTCAAAGCAAAAACGTGCCAATTCCAAATAAAACTGAAAAAATAGAAAATATCTCATATCCTTTGACAAACCGCATACCGTTTGATATATTGTAAGGTATGTGCACACCAGAAGCAAAAGTCACATAACAGCTACTGACACATTTTCCGGTTCCTCTACATTCAATACTAAAACAAGACAAAAAAGTAACAGAAATTGTAGCAAATAAAGATAAAATACTTTATCGATTAACACTTTTAATACACTCAAGAGAAAAATATAAAAGTTTTTTTATTCCTGCAATATAAAATGCAAACAAATTTGTTGTTGCATTAAGTGAAAATTCGGAAAATTCGAAAAGTTCAGTCCACTTTAATTTGGGAATACTTTATTGTTCCCTTAATGTGTGAGGTAGAGGACAATTTTGCCAATATTCGTCATCATTTATATTCACTTCTAATGATAAATTCTGTTAAAATTTTAGTTTTTTGCATGTCCTGGTCTCGGAGGCATGTGGAGTGTTCCTATGAGTTTTCACCAAATAATCCCTTTTGTCATATTTCATATTTCCTCCTCTTTAGACGATTTAGTAGTTTTAGTGCATCGCTCAAGTGTTTTATTCGTAATTGAAAGAGTCGGAAGTCTCATCACTTTTGATCAACACTTTTTTTTATGTATTTTACAGTTTTTTTTTATGTCGAGCTCTTGTGAATTTTTTTTAATATTTATAGATTTTTTCTGCACTTTCTTCACACTTGCTGCACTTCTGGTCCTGACAGCAGATTTGAACTTTGATTGTTGTAAATCACATAAATATTATTAAGAGTTAAAATTACCCTAATAACCTAAAAACCCAGAAGTTTCTGGTTGAGTAAAGTGGAGCAAAAATAGTATATTGCTATTTTTAGTTAAATTTTAAATATAGCTTAACTTTAAAAAGTATAAAGGGAGTTTAATGATGACTACAACTTAAAGCATTATTTTGTAATTATTTTTATTACTCCTCCTTTTGTCTAAGATATAAGTAAGTAAGTAAATATGGACTTTGAACCATTATATCAATAAATGTAGGGCATATTTACCAGACATTGTACAAGACAATATTATTTAATTCATTTCCTAAAAACTTCCGTCTACAATGATTTGCCAGACAATATTGAATAAAAATGTCAATACTATTTAAAATCGGATGACAAAGAATGCCCACTATTACCTTTAAGTTCTCTACAGAGTTAGGCGATTGAAGTGTTGTCTATTGAATCGACCATATCTTTTTTGTGTAAAATTAATTTCTATTCATTCAAATTACGAAAATGTATGGAAGAAATCAAAATTGTAGAATCTATTCATTCTAGCTCGATGTAGCCACCCTTTCCCTTGACTATGGGCTTCTAACGGTTAAAAAAATGTATTGTATTCTTTACAAATGTGATCTTCCGGTATTTTGGTCCATTCCATAACAATTGATTTATTTGGCGCATCCACCCTTGCTCTCTAAAATTATCCATATGAAATAAACCATTGGATTTGCATCTGGAGAATTCGAAAGCCATTGTGTGGTGGAAATGAAGTGTGAAACATGATGGAAATGAAGTGTGAAAAATATGACACAATGCCAAATCATGTTCAAACGTTCATAGTCTAACACCGAAATGTTTGCTTGCCCACGGTTCTAAATCAACTTCCATTCTCCCGATAATAAATCGTATTAATTTTGACACCAGGCTAGATGAAAACGATTGGAGAGCTCCCATCAGCGATCACAGCTGCCCATACCATTATTTGAGATTGAAAATTGCTTAAGGTGGTCATTCGTAGTCTCAAATGGCAGTGAGCAGCAGTGCGTGCAATTAAGTAAACACGATTATTTTGAGAGTTTCTAAACTGCTTAATGACGAAATTGAAACTGTTTAAAGGATATTATTCCAAATTGATTGACAAAGAATTTTGAATCAATTTTTTTGGAAATCTGTAAAAATTTTGGGCTCTAGAACTTTAAAGCACTATGTACTACTCATTCGATTACTCTAACTGAAGTTGTTGTAAATATCTGAAACAAAAACAAACTGGAATACAAATATTTAAATTTAGTTATATTGGTGTTGATATTTAAAATTAAATTTTTTTAAAAAAATATTGTTTCAATATTATTTTTTATTTTAAACTCTTAGAGGACTCTTTGCATTTACAAGTATTAGAATAAATAAAACCTTAATATGAGAAGATATACGAGTATATACACTCCATATACAAACAATTTTGAAACAATAAATTTTACTCTGACCAACATTTATTTCATTTTAAATTTATTTATTACTTTATCGTACTACTGACATTAAACAT